GTTTTCTAATTGCTTAATGGTTTCCAACTCCTGCTTATTTCCCATGCTGCATGCATTGATGTAGAGACACTTCAGCTGCGCTACTGGCCATGTTACATTCTTGGAGCAGCCCTCCAAATCTCTCTGGGACAAATCTGACGTTTTTTCCTGCTTCTTCCTAAAGTGACAGTGCTCTCTGGTTTTTGTTTGTCACTAAGCGGTACATCCCCTTCTCATCAAATCTAGTTTTATCACTCCAGTGATAAGCCCAGCCAGCTTGCTGCCCGGTATGTTCTTGCCCCTCCTGATCAGTTGTGTCCCTCCCAACACACCCACTGGGAAAGAGCCAAGGAAGAAAACATCAAGTAGCTATGGCTCTACCATAACTCAGTTACAGTTTTCCCAATTCTTTGATGCGCAAAATCTCGTAAATTCTGACAACTTTAATTTATTCATTCATTAGTTAATGCATGCTTGGCAAGAGGTTACAATGTAGATTTATCATTTTTGAAGGTTAACCAATGGGCTCTTAGGAAGCTCTGTCTTTCCACAAAACACCAGGTGACAATCCAAAATGTATCCTGCAGGCTGAGAAAATAAATGTCAGTATGGTTGGAGTAAATGGAGTGACAAGCTGGGCTTATTGACTACTCCTCTCTTACAGACCTATTTCCAAATATTCTAAAGGAAAGGAGAGTGGCAGTTTGCTTGCTAGAGAGTAGAAGACCAAGCAGTATCACAAGCACCGAACACCTCTGGTGAAGTACTAGCTCTGCTACATGCCACAGAAATGACAAATGAAAAAGTTTTGAGTTATTCTTCACTGTTAGGCAAAAAGATGCTTTCCTGTGGTCAGGGATAGTGACAACGCATGAGACAGTAACGGCCAAGACCAGTGCTGTTAGAGCAAATGCTAGCAAAAATGTTACCGAAATTCCCCATATTCTAACTTTCTCTCTTAGCTCTTGACAAGATCAGGTCCACTTTTTCTCTCAGCTTCTAGAATAGATTCAGTTATGTTCAGTACTGAAAATCATCTCAAGCAAAAAGAATTAATTTTCTTTGCAATATTCGTCTACTAAGGCCTTAGTTTCTCACTAAGAATATATATTGTTTAAAGCTGGATGTATAATCTCTCCTATAAAATGATAGTACTTATAATATTTTGACCATCTGTTTGACGTATTTCTCTACTGTCTACTTCTAAATGGACCCTAATGATAAAAAAGACTTCTTCAAAACTCTACAGTTCTTTCAGTAATTTCTGGCACAGAAATAGACACACACACAAGAAAAATCTCAAATAGTAACAAACTTTGAAAGAAAAAAAAATTCAGACCTAAAGCTAACTTTGTAAGTCAAAGTAGCAATGCAGGCCAAGGTGACCAAATCTACTATATTCTATGAACAGTCTAAAAAGTATACAGCTGAAGGTCCTCCCTCTTCAGGTCTTCAACCTACTAAGCCTCTTCAGCTGACTCTTTCTCTGCAACAGAATCACTGTTAGAAAAAAAATTCTTGCAATTATTTGATAGGCCTCACTGGCAGGCATTGTTTATTTTTTTCTTTTGTTCAGAGGTTAAGTAGTTGTATTCTCTGGAAATAAAATCATCTCAGTAAGTGTCAGAAAACAGTTTGTGTGGCTGAAACCTTGCTAGATATAGGAACAGACTAACATGAATTACTAGAATAGGTTTTCTACATTCCCTATTTTCCCTATATCCCCCACATATACAATACCATTTATGGTATGATTTACCAAGCAACATCATCATGGCATTGCAGGGACAAATTCAGTCCATGATGAAAACCTAGAATATAGTCTGTAGGTGTTTTCCAAATGGGAGAAATGACAACACGAGTATTCAGATTATCTTGGCCATAGTGATAGCAAAATAGGCCCTCAAGAGTATTCTGAAACACTAACAGAACTGGAATTTTGGCTGGTTCCTTTTGTTCATCTGTTTTGTGTTCTGTTGTTTCTTTGGGTTGTTTTTTTGTTGTTTTTTTTTTCAACTCACAAAATTATCTGTAATCCGGTTTTACATTGACTAAGATATAATAATATACAATTCAACATACCAAAGTTTAAGCATTTCAGATTTTTTTTTTAATTAATCAGTTCAATCTCTTATAGTTTATCACTGCAAAAGCTTGAAACTCTAATGATAACTGAGGTAAATTCATGATCTGAAAATTCATGGAGATTCCATCAAAGGCAGTTATGAGACAGTGAAAAAAATGAGGAGAGATTTTAAAAAGAAGCAAAGTTATGTTGGTAGCTTTTGCCTGCAATTTTAGAAACTATAGATAAGAGTTACATGAAGAGAGAAAAACCTCTCCTTCAGGTTTGTTTGTGCAGACCAGACACAAATCTGACACGCTCAAAATTCTATTTAAGCCTCCACTGAAAGAGAGAACTTGAATATAGCATCAGAGCAATCAATTTACTGGGCCAATAATTTTGACACAGATATACCTGCACAGAAGGTAAACTGTTTCCAAGCTTTATGGACAATATTAACTTCATCAAATAACCCCACACTCTAAAATGATATAATGTATCTCTGAATGAAAAACAACGTTATGAGCACTGTTACCTTGTACAAGTTGTATGACTTCATTCATGAAAATGCTGAAGCTGTTCCTGATATCATACCTGTATTGTGTTTTCCTACTTTCTCTCGTCATTGAAAGTATGTAACATCAACAGACCCTATGAGCCTACAAAGCTACGAACAATGCAGTTTATAATTTATCTTACTGAAAACAGGAGTTTGGTCCAGAGAATTCCAGAGAGGCCTCCAACATGAATTATTACACGCTCACGTGAAAGTAAAGTGTATAAATTATACTAAACTTAGAAGATTAAAACAAAAATGAAAACATTAGAATACATCCATGCCCCAAGACAAAATTGCCCTTTCTACATTACAGCTCAATGGATAAATCATAAAGGAAATCATAACCATAAAGGAAAGTCTACTAAGTGCACGCTCACCAAATACACTTCCAATTCATAGCATTTCCTTTAAAAAGTAATCTAAAAGTTACATCTTTTCCTGCAAGAAAACTGGAAGGATTGAAATTAACCCCTTATTGAGATATAGTAGTAGCCATATCTCATATTCCAGACAGAGGTCAAATAAGTTTACCAGGAAAAGTCACATAGCTTCAATATTAGCAGTGCCATAGCAGCTGTTAAGGGGGATTGCTGTGGCAAACATCAACACTGCCCACCAATTTCTTATTCTAGTGCAGAAAATTAGTCCAGGGACACACAGTATCCCTCTATTTACCTGTGTAATTGCAGGCAATGACAACTTCTTCCAACACCAAGAAGTACATGAGGAGATCAAATGGAGAGGATACAGTCATAGACTAGCATACTTCTTATAGGGATCAAGGTATACTTGTAAGATTCATAGAAGCAATGAATACCTATGCTCAACTGTGACCAAACAGTAAGTGACAAGCCAGCTTTTTAGAAGAAGAAACAATTACTGTAATCACACACAGTATCCTCAAATAGCTGCAGTCACAAGGCATAAATGTTAGGTCATCTTTATCCTTAACAGCTTTTTGGAAGAAAAATTTTGAAAAACTTAAATACACTGTTGCACAAGCAGTGCAAAGAAGATAAGAGAGGCTGCTTGTTCACTAAAAGGTTCTAGAGAAGTAGCCTCTGCAGCTAGCCTATCTCAACAACTCAATACTGAAATGTATTGCTACACAGCCCTTATTTCTCTCACATTTTTCACTGAAGAAATGTATTATTTTCAGATAATGTCCCTTGTTCACTGAGCTTGGTTAACTTCAGTTCACTACCTAAGGTTACAGCTGTCTCTCTATAAGAAGTGTCTCAGAACGTGCATGAAGTACCATGAGTTTGTCAACAGCAGTTTTTCTTTACGGAATTTCACAGAAGAAACAACTGAGAAATACTTTTTCATTTCTGCCAAGGTTTTTCCTTGTATGAAACATAGATTTATCCCAGTCAGATTTCTACGTCTCCCTCCATTTCGTACACATGGCACAAGTAACCTGAGCTAGCCTGTCAGAGAATTGTCATTTATCAGACACCAACATTAGTTCATTACCTCTCCTAACAGTTCAACAACAACTCTGCATAAAGATCATCAGGTCCTGAGATGAGCAAGATTTAACTTTGAAATTAACCCTGTTTTAAGCAGGAGGTTTGGTCCAGAGAACTCCAGCTCTTTCTCATCTAAATAATTCTGCTGTTCAATTGAGAAAAGTTTTTCACAAAGTTCTTCATGAAGTCTTAGGGCCAATAATATTCCACTATTCTCCTTGGATGATGTTTGGAAACACAGTGATGACAGACAAAATAATTATATGAATATCAGTATACACAGGTCGCTCTGAAAGTAATGTCTCCTACTTATTTTCATGCAAATGATAACAACTACAAAGAGCACAAGAATACTATTTCATAGAATAAATTCTTACTTACCAAATGCTAACTTTCAATAAAGTCACCACCATTAGCTGTGCATTTTCACCATCACTGAACAAGAGCCTGCACGCTGTGCTGATAAAAATCTACACTTGCAGAAGTGACACATTATGGTTGTCACCACTGCTGAAATGCACCACCCACCGCCTCCCTGTGCTCACATTCACTGTTTGGTCTCCATAATTGTTCAGTCAGTATTGGTGAAAGTCAGTGTGTACCATTCTACTGCATGGAGCAATTCAGTGACACAACTTTGTCTCCCCTGCACTCCCATGTCAGACGGCATTTTGCCAAACTGCCCCTCTGCTGCCATCTTTCCCATGGCAACAACATGTAGTGGAATATTGGTGAGAAGGTTCAGTCTCTATCTCCATACCATCACGTTGTGCCTCTGAATTTATGATAGTAATGATTATCTGTATTTCATGGTACTTGACAGTTAAACAGGCTCCCAAATAGCATTTTCCCTTACCAAAAAAAAAAAAAAAAAGCATTCAAAGACAGCAATGAAAGTCACAAATACAAAAAAATCTGCACTTACAGTTCTATTGCTTTGTTCCACATGATAACATATCCAGAAAGAATGAAGGACTCGATATTTACAATGTGTGTATTTCCCCGCTCTGTTCCAACATAAAGCCATTTACTCTGGAAAGGTAGATGGCAGTAAGTAATTCTGCAAAGGAAAAACAGAACAAACAACAAAAGAAAAACTGACTGAACACCATATCAACAAATTTTTAAACACTTTTATAGAGAAAATAACTTTTCTTTCCATTTTAAAACTTCAAGAAAGAACAGCAGGCACAGCATTCTGAAGAATGTCCAGTTTTGGACATCCTCTGCAGAAAAATCATAAAAGATAACCTGAAACAAAACAGGGCCATACTATCCAGTTTTATTAAGAATGGGGTAAAAATGTCATATCACTTGACCATCATTCATACAAGAAAGTGTTCACTTCACTGGCTGTCCAGGAGAACAGGGCACTAGATAATAGCAATACTGAGTGCAGTTAAACATTACATCACAGACAACTGAATCCTATGTTTGTATCATTCCCACAGGGTGATGAGCCAGTAACATATTAGCTTGGAAAACATCAAGGCAGTTTCACATGATAATATATATAGAAATTTTCAGTTACATCGAGTCAATAGATTCAGGCTCCTTTCATTATTATAGTTATTATACAAATATTGCATACATGCGAGCAAAAAAAAAATAATAATATAGGAGATGTAAAACCATCTGCTGCTAAAATGCTACCTAGATAGGCTGAAACTTTATCTGATCTGGTGATACAGCCTCAATAATTTTGAGAAAAAGCGATTATTTAGCCTGCTATGCCATATGTTACTATATTTAGTATTTGATTCCACAATCAGGCTATTTCCAGCTTTTATATACAAGCTTGATGTAATCACTATGCAATAATTTTTGTTCCTAACATCTCCCTTCCCCATAAACAAACGGCATTCAAGACAATAAATATTTCAATTTCTTATTCTTATGCTAGAACAATCTGAATTCATTACAAAGGAATGAGATGGAAATCTTGTTTTCTTGATTCAAGTGAGACTCAAGTATGATATAAACATTGTTCTCTCCATTTGCACAAGGCTATATTTTCTCATTACTCACCTAATTTTGGCAATAATTCCACAGCCTTTAGTTGGGAACAAACCAAGTTTTTCAAGAGAATTGATTTGGGAGTGAGAACTACAGTTCAATGTGCATAAATGAAAATACTTTCAAGGAGAAACTTTGTACTTACACAGTGTGCACAGTCAAATCAACAAGTATCTGACAGAAAAAAAAATGCAGGAGATCTATGCCACCAACATATCCCTTGCTGGAACCTGTTAGCTTCATTATTCTGTTCATAAAAGATTCAAAGAGCAATCTGCTCTTTTCACTTCCTAGTTTTACAAATGTTAAGCTTGCTTTTATGCCTCCCTGGATCCTTCAAACATCTCAATTTCTGTTGCCTTTTTTTTAGCAGCATCATTTGTTACGCTTTGGTTAGATTCATACTGAGTCTGAATTTTTATCTGCTGTATTTCTATACTAGATCTACTTCTCTTTCATGCACTCCAAAGCAGCATATGTGTGCGCTGTTAGGTTACAGCCCATGCAAAAACCTCCTTAGTTACTGGCTGAGATACTCTTCTCTTACTCACTTCATATTAATGTTCATTCAGCACTTGCTTGTAGTAAACTATTAAGTTATAAGGAAATAAAATTTGTGACTTTCAAAGTGTTGAAAATGGCTCTCTTGAGACTGAGAAATAACAAAGTGACAAAGTTACAAAGTGACTTCTAGCTGACTTGAATACTTCCAGTCCAAATTCTTGCAATCCAGTTGTCAGCCTAAGCAAGTTCGAGTCTAGGATCACAATGAATTTCAGTACTCAGATAAATCAATTCACAAGCAAGAAGTATTTTATGGCAGAAAACTTGATCTCGAAAGTACAAGGCTGAATCCAATAATACAATTATGAAATATAGTCTCAAAATCACCACAGACAATGCTAGATTGCTTTGGTTTTCCTTTTAAAATTTGTTTCTATGCTATAATCTCCAGTATGTTCCGCTACAATAATCATCAAATCAAACGGGCTTCTTATGTTCCAGCTTTTGTATTACCTCCATTTGCCTATCTTCCGTTTAAAATTTCAAGGACATAATGTTTCAACAGCAAGATCTTGCTTGTAAAAGCAGAATCAGACTAAAGTAACCATACAATCATAGAATGGCTTGTGTTGGCAGGGACCTTTAAGATCACCTAGTTCCAACCCCATGCTATAGGCAGGGGCACCTCCCTCTAGACCAGGTTGCTCAAAGCCCCATCCAGCCTGGCCTTGAATGCTTCCAGGGAGGGGGCAACCACAACATCACTGGGCAACCCGTTCCAATGTCTCACCACCCTCACAGTAAATAATTTCTTTCTAATGTCTAGTCTAAATCTACCCTCTTCCAGTTTAGAGCCTTTTCCCCTCATCCTGTTGCTATGTGTCCTTATAAAAAGTCCCTCCCCACCTTTTGTGTAGGCCCCCTTCAGGTACTGGAAGGCTGCTGATAAAGTCCTCCTGGACCCTTCTCTTCACCAGGCTGAAGAACCCCACCTCTCTCAGCCTGTCATCACAGGGGAGGTGCTCCATCCCTGTGATCATCTTTGTGGCCCTCCTCTGGACCTGCTCCAACAGCTCCACGTCCTTCTTGTGCTGCGGGTCCCAGAATTGGACGCACTACTCCAGGTGCGGTCTCATGGGAGCAGAGGGGCAGAATCATCTCCCTCGACCTAATGGTCATGCTTCTCTTTATTCAACCCAGAATATAGCTGGCCTTCTGAGCTGCAAATACACGTTGAGCCTTCATGAACAGAAACCCCCAAATCCTTCTCCTCTGGAATGCTCTCAAGCCATTCTGTGCCCAACCTGTATCTGCGCTTGGGATTGCCCTGATTCAGGCGCAGGATCTTGCATCTGGCCTTGTTGAACTTCATGAGGTTGGCATGGGCTCACCTCTCAAACCTGTCCAAATCCCTCTGGATAGTATTCCTTCCCTCTTACGTGTCAACTGCATCACTCAGCTTGGTTTCATCTGCAAATTTGCTGAAGTGCACTCAATCCCACTGTCCACATCGTGGACAAAAATGTTAAATAGCATCAGTGCCAGCACTGATCCCTGAGGAACACCACTCATAACTGATCTCCACTTGGACACTGAGCCACTGACCACAACTCTCTGAGGGTGACCATCATCACTGACAAACAGTTACAAGAATTATTTTCCCACTGGTCTATCTGATATCCAGCTGCTGTAGCTACTGGTACCTACGATATATAGTATAGTTAACCAGAAGAGAAAGAAATGTTGCTAAAGAATGAAGATGAAGATAATAACAAAAAAATTTACTATTGTCTTAAGCTCAATTACTTCCTCTTCAATAACTTCATTTTGATGTGATAGTCGTATATGACAGCCAGATAAGAAAATATTATTTGCATTCCTCTTTCCACAATGAAAACTACACCATGAATCTTCTACTAGCAAGACCTCCCTAGCTATCTCTAAAAGGAAAAGCAGAAAACTGTAAAATAATCCCAAAAAACACTAAACCATCAGACACATTAATTAAAAGACCGTACTCAAAACAGAAACATAGTTATATACACTGGGTATAACAACTATATTTTTAAAATTAAATGCATACTAGAGCACAAAGTTATGGAATTATTAGGCATTTTAATACAATACAATGTCAGGCTTCACCAAACAAAGCCACATGATTTTCATACTGCATTGCATAGTTTTCTTCTATATTATGTAGTAATTTAGTTTCCTTTTTCATTATGTAAATTAAATGCATACTACTTTCTGTACTATTGACTTTTCACTTTTATAGAGAATATTAACTTTAAGGCTTGAAAGCTTTGAACTGAGACTCAGGTTTTTAATGATCATCTTGTGTTTCAGTAAGTACACAGTAATTTCTTCAACAAAAAACAATGCTGTCTCATGTTGTTGGATTTATTCTGGATGAAAGGAATCCCTGTATTAGACATATATACCAGAAGCAAATTACATTGACACCTCTACAAAAGATCAATGTACCAGAAAAAAAAAAAGAAAAAAAAAAGAAAAAAAAAATCTATTTTTCTTCTTAAGAAGGCAGGTTTGGAGTGACTTATGCAAGTATAAAATGTTTCTGCAAAAATTTAATCAGATTGTCAATCTGATTGAGGTAATATGGAATCCAATTAAATGGAGACCTCAGAATCCACTCAACACTGACCACTTACAGAAAGCCACCCTGAACTGTGGATATTATACATTCTTAGCCTCAAGCCAGCATCAAAGATATGGTATGAGTAAGGTATAAGGTATGAATCTAATCAATCATGATAAGAAATAGTAAGAAATATGAGCTGATATCTTGAAAGGTGTTCCTGTGCTGCTAAATGCGCTAAGATATATCAGTTTTTCAACATAACCAAATCCCAAAGTAGAACATAAAATATAATAAATTAAAAAAAAACTAAACAGGTGACAAACTAATATCAGTCAAAATGTATTTAAGTCTTGAGATTGCTTCTAAACTTAATATAAGCAACATAAGGGAAACAATGGTCTAATTTTGAGAGGCACTGTCAAAAATTAAAACCCCATTTTAAAAGGAACTTACCCTGAGTAGCAGCCCTTGAAAAGGCGTGTTTTTCAGAACGTACTGTCTATCAACTCTGACCAAAAAGATTTCATTGTGTATGAGTATAATACTGAAATGTTAAAATAATTTAGACTGCTATGTTCTCTGAAATACTAGCAAGAACACTCGGGTGGCTTAAAATAATCTTTTCTGCACAAATGATACTCTTCTAGGAAAAATAAAATATGACTTCCAGAGCATTTACTTCTGTCTCTGTTGTATTATTTTTTTCCGCTTTTAATATGCAAAATTTTCCTGGAATACTTTTTCTGGGGGATGGGTTCAGAAGCAGAGAGAAAAAAATTTATTTCTGTCGGAATGAGGAACAATTTTTCCAATTTAATTATCTAATTGCTCATCACTTTACATCAAAATTGCAAGTGAATTTATACTACGCTTTTTCCACTTGTATTGATAATCTTATGTATGGAAAAACAAACAATATGTGCAGCCCTTATGCCTAA